TCCATCTGTGCATAATCCAAGATAAACATTGCGAATGTTGCTTGCAAAATCCTTGTGCACCGAATTCAAGTGTTTCCACGCTTTTGCATCTGAGGGATGATTGATCTCGCCGTCCTTCTGAGTATGTTCTGCATGCCATCTCATCGCTGCCACAGTCTTTTCCGATTGATATAATCTCTTCAGCCTATCCGTAATAGGTAAGTACCACATCCGCTGGTACGGTACCCTTGTTCGTCCACGTCCTTGCGGTTTATATCGTTGCTTCTTACAAATTCGACACTCCAACAACTCTGCATCTTTCCTACAGAAGATCATACAGTTGTCTATACAGACATCTATCATCTCTGAAGGTAAGCCAAGACTATGAACCAGTGAGATTCAGCACTCACATTATCTTCAAGCAAATACTCTTTAAACAACTCCGCCCATGCATCCATACAAACTTCAGGTAAGTTATAATCAGTTTTGATATTCATCATCCTAGCTGCCAATGATAACTTAGAAAGACCATCTCTACAACCTTCATAAATTGGCTGATTAGCAGCGGCTAACATGTCATAAAATCTTTTGGCTTCCAAGTTAGGTCCCTCTACATTTTCNCTCCCACCTCTACATTTTCTACTTCTGCAGCAATTACTGGATTTGTTTCACGAAATGCATCAGTAACCATTTCATGCATCCTATCATGATCTACCACCTGATCCTCCGAAGGTAAATGTTGTTCTCTATTACGATTATTTTCAAACTGATTACTACTACTAGCTTCATTCATACTATCACCTTCTCCATGATGAAACCATATGTAGTAATGTGGAGTAAATCCCCTATTAACTATATGCTTCCAAACCGTTTCACTAAGAGCGAATTTTGTATTCTTGCACTTAACACATGGACAAAACATTTTACCCGTTTCCTTCGTGAGAGACGTGTTTCCGGCCTGGTACATGAATATTTCTGCCCTGTTGAGGAACTCCGATGTCACTCTTCCCTCAGAATCTTTATGGGTATACATCCAACTTCGAAGCTCATAAATATCTCGAAACATTTTTTACTCTATCTTGTTTCGTTTTTTTTTTTTGGACAATCTTGTTTATTTTTTTTTGGTGTATCTAAAAATGGAATATGAGATTGTATTTATAGGCAAATTTCGAAATGGTAGGTGGGGAATATTACCCCCTATTTACGACCAAAATTATGTTACTTCGAATAAACTACCACGTGCATGTAATTTGGTAGTTAATGCGAAGCTAATTATTTGGTCGTAATTCCGTAGTCAACTAACTTCTACTTTACGACCACTTTTTCTTTTGGTCGTAAATTGGAGGTTAAGTCAATTCTGCTTTACGACCAATATTTGTGGTCCCAATTTTACTTCGGTTTTACGACCAATATCTTTTTTGTTGTTGACTGGTCGTAACACAGACGTAAAATTACGACCACCATTTCGTGGTCGTAACTGTTGGTCGGTAATCAAGCGTTTTCTTGTAGTGTTGGTAAGAAACCTAAAGAAAACTTCAACAGTTTAACATTAATATTTTAATTAAAATTTGGGTTTTCTAGAAAAGAAATATCCTTTAAGTGGCCATTTTTTCTATTCAAAATAATTTTCTAATTTTCTTTGGTTTTTTTCTAATAAATTAAAATTAGTAATATTATAGTAATCAGTGTTTTATAAAACTAAACTCATAGCTATGATCTATCTAAATATAGAATATGTACGTCTCAGTTCTAACCAAAACACTTTGTTATTTCTAACATAAAATATATATATATATATATATATTCTAGGTTTTTTACTTTATTAAAGAAAAATCTAGAAAATGTTTACCTATATTCTATGAAATTGGCTAATCAGACCATATTGAGAGTGAATTTATCCCCTTGTACCTTTGATTCTATAAGTTTTTCCTAATGTACTTTTGATTTTTGAAAATACAAAATTAACCCCTACTTAAACAAATAACATACTTTATTTAAATTTAAAATAGTAATCAAATTTTTCTTATTAGTTATTTAATAAAAAAAGGAAAATAACTTTTTGTAGTTAAAAAAAGAAAAACCTAAAACTTATTTGTGTCATTTTCTCACTCATTCCACCGTCAAGAAAAAACGAAGACGAAGCTTTGGTAGTCTCAGCCGCTGGCTCTGGTGCTTTTCGGGTGTTCTCTGGTGTTCTCTCTAGCCATCAAGTCCTGCAACACTTTTTCTTTCGTATATCATATGGGTCTTTTTCGTTCTAGTTCTTTTTATATAGTTATCTCGAACGAATTCCTCTATCTACGGTAAATTTTCAGCGTTATTCAATGTGAGTTTTCGTCAAAAAAATTGAATAAAAGTAGTTAAAGTTTTTTCCTAGATTTTATCAGATTTAAAATATAAAATAGCCAAAAATATTTAACAATTAGTCAGTTTTAGACATAATTACCCCTTATAATAATGAAAACAATTATTTAAAATGATACAGAGCTCAAAAAAATATGAAAAATCAATATAATTATGAGAGTATTTTCTATGTTTTGATATAAAAATAAATTTCAAAAACAATTTAGATGTGTTGATCAAGATTTGTTAAAATATATATTATAACTCTTTTTTACAAAGATAAAATAGACATTCTAAAGAAGGAGCAAGTTTTCAAGAGTAAAGACATACTGAAATCAACCGTGGAACTTTACGCTATGAAATATAACTTTGACTACAAGGTTGTAAAATCGACAAGAAGATGGTGGAGTGCTTTCTGTAAAGATCGCAATTGTCGATGGAGTCTTCGTGAAAAATGTTTAGCTGGATCTAGAAGCTACATAATGAATAAGTGTGTGGCTGAACATACTTGTGCTCCTTCAAATAACAGCAGTTATGGCAGAACAGCTTCTGCGAAAACAATTAAAAACCTGATCATGCATAAATACGCAAGTGTTAAACAAGGGCCAAAACCGAACGAAATTATAGAGTTTATGTGCAAGGAGCATGGTTGTGAAATCTCTTATTACCAAGGTTGGAAATCTTGTGAGTATGCAGTTGCAGCAGTAAGAGGATTGCCAGAGATTTTTTTTTGTAAAATACCAAAATACTTCCATATCTTGAAAGAAGCTAATCTTGGTACACATACTCACTACACAACTAAAACTGATGGTAGATTTAAGTATTTGTTTATTTCATTTGGTCAATCTGTGAGAGGGTTCTATAAGGCAATCTGGAGGGTGATTGTAGTAGATGGTACTTTTCTTAAACATAAATACAAAGGAGTTCAACTTGTTGCTACAGCTGTAGATGGTAACTCTAACCTTTATCCAATTGCATTTGGGGTTGTTGATTCAGAGAATCATAATTCGTGGGAGTGTTTTTTCATGCAGTTGAAGGTTGTTATTGATGATGATCCTGGTTTAGCATTTGTGTCAGATATAAATTCATCAATTGTCATATCACTCAGCAATGTTTATCCACGAGCTAAACATGGAATTTGCATTCATCATCTGCTAAGCAATGTGGTTAAGAACTATAGGGTAAGAGGAGCTTCAAAAGCATATAGGGCTGTCGATTTCGTGGAGATTATTGATGATATTTGCGGAATGAGTTAGGCTGTTGGAACATACCTTCGGATAGCAGATGTAAGAAAATGGAGTCGCTGTTACTTTCATAGATCCAGTTATGACATAAGGACGAATAATCCAACAAAATCAATAAATTATGTATTGAAATCCCCTAGGGAGTACCTTGTGATTCCTCTTTAGACAGTATAAGGGAAACACTTACAAGTGTTTTTTTGAGCGTAGATTGTTGAGCTCAAAGAGTAAGGATCCATTAATGATAAAGGTGGAGAACAAGATTGATAGAAGGAGTAAAAAGGCTAAAGGATTTGAGGTATTTCCAGTTAATGAGTACAACTCTCTTGTTAAAGGTGACAAGTATGATTGTCTCGTTGATTTAGCTAGAAGAACTTGTACATGTCGAAAGTATGATTTAAGAAAAATTCCTTGCAGACATGCTATTCCTGTTATTTTTTCAAGAGGTATGGAGATAGACCGGTTCACAGATGAATTATACACGACTACTTCTTGGAGAAGTGCATACGAGGAAAGCATTAACCCTATACATGTACCAGAAGAAGAATGGTGTGTTCCTGAATGTGTTAAACATTCCAAGGTGTTACCACCTGAAACACGTAAGAGTGCTGGTAGCAAAAAAAATAAAATATGAATCATTTGAAGACAAGATACGAAAAGGATCACAAACGGCTACAGAATACAAGTGCAGTCGTTGTGGTAAAGGAGGACACAACATAAGGTCATGTAAGGTTGCAATCTAGTTTTTATTAGTTTTATCAAAGAATTGTATATGAAAATTTGGTTTCAGATTTGTTTGGTTTAGGATTTATTTTGGTTTTCACACTTTTGGAATCGATTTACATGAATAATAGTTGGTGCTGGACTTAATGTTTAAGTTGTTGAGATATGTTGAGTTTGCTTTTGCTAGTATGTTGGCCACTCCGGGTTCAAGCCTAGTTTCTCTGTCACATATTTTTATAACTTGTTTAAATTGTTCAGATATGTTGAGTTTTCGATTGCACTTTTATATTTTTTTACAATACAACTATAAATCACAAACAAACTATCCTTTACATCCTTTTACATTGGCATCTACTTTAGCAGCAGCCTTGCATTAGTTGTGCTTGCAAATGAGAAAAGCAGCCATGAGAAAGACAGTGAGGTCGGATAATAAAATGAACTGAACCTCAAATGTTACTAAGAAAAACTTGAACCAAAACTAAAAGAAATTTATGTACAAAAAGATAAACAACATATCGATCAATCTATTTCAATACTATCAGAAGAGTGGATTTCAGGTGAGTCAAACTTCGACATCCGATCTACCAACTCTGGATCATTCGCATCCCAAGATGTTATCATCATCAACCAAAGAGATCTCAAACCATAACTCATGTCTTTTGTCGGTTTCCAACTGCCTGACCAACATGCTGTGAATCATCCTTGCAGAATACTTTAAGTTGTTGCGATGAAACGCCAAAATCTGAGAAAACACAGGATCCCTCTCCACTTCCTCATACTCATTTTAAACCGAGACTTCAATTTATCTAAAATCCCTAGTCTGCAGTAGTTATTGATGTGTGAAACTTCAGGCTTAGACCCTGCTATGAACAACCGTTTTGGAAGCTCAGAATCCATAACCTGCAAGCAAAGAAAAAGAAAAAGAAAAAGAAAAATAGATCAATGCTTTACACCCTAACAAACAAGAATCAAAGTCATCATCCATGATATCTAAAAATAAATAATAGTAACAGTCTAATTTAGATTTAAACTAGTACAAAAACTACCAAGACGAACTCAAGTAAAACAATAAAATTCATATTTACTTTCACCAAGAGGAAGATAAAGTGTGTTTGATATTTTGAGTGAACCGAGTTCTCTATTGTTTCCAACCTTCTTTGTTCTTTTGACCTATGAAACATAGAAAACAAGTTATAGGCTTGATACGAGCTGTCAACAATCTAATTTAGATAATAGTAACAATTAGGAGTCTATTTCGTCCAAAGAATTATTCAATCGCATCTTCAACTCCAATTGCCTCTTAAATCCCAAGAGGTATGAGAAGAAGAAAACTTAAAGCAAACACTTACTCAAATATAAATTTGAAATCAGGGAGAGGAATTCGAGAGAGAGAAAACAGGGGTCAGAGACGAAATAGAAAAAGCTGTAAGACTAGACAGCTAGAAGGCGGTGATCGCCGGAGAGAGGCCAGAGTTCGCCGGATTTCGCTAGAGGGAGACCGAGAGAGGCTGGAATGCGACAGAGCACCACAAATTCTCCTATCTTAGTGTTTGTCGGAAAACGGAGAAAACAAAGAAAGAGATATGGTTTATTAGGTTTTTTTTAAATTAATATTAATAAACATAAATATATTTAAATTTAAAATTCACAAAAAAAATTATTTACTTTACTTAAAAGGTTAATTTGTATTTATAATATCAAAGGTATATTGAGACAAAAAAAAAAAAAAAATTAAAGGTATAAGAGGACAAACCATTCCTCAGTATAGCCCAGTTAGCCAATTTTCTCTTATTCATCTATACTATTAAAGCAGAATCCCTATTAGGATTCTGCCCTTAATTTTCAAAGATATTTACAAGATTATGCCACTCATGATATTTATGTCTTTTGCTCAATGACCTAATCTAAATTTTTTTTTGCAAATGTATCATTTAAACCATTGGAATAATCTTGACAACTAACAATACCCTAATTATATGGTGGCGTACTTTTTTCTTCTACCTTTCTCTCTCTTTTTTGTTAATCGCTGTAGTGATCTGAAAGAGTCTCCTCCAATTGGAACATTGCAGTCAAGACACAAAGCTTATGGAGTCCTAAAGATCCTTAAAGATCTCTTTTTCTCTACAACAATCCCAGCCACAGCGAAAGCTACCAATTACGACAAGTGTCGTCGTAGAGATCGCCGTCATTTCAAAAGTGAGTGGTTTTCGTTTTTCTGTTATCAATTATTTTCTAGAGAATCCCTTGATCTCTAAAATGATTCCCCTATTGTATCTCTTTTGCAGAAATATTAGCGGTAACAGTGGTGACTTGTGCTCGAGCAGATATTGCATATTGCATTCACACCCTTTCCCTCCACTTGCATAAAACTAGAAACTAAACGGTACTTATTCATTCTCTTCTTTCATCCATGGGTTTTGAGTATAAGCATGTTGATTTTTTTTTAAGTTGAAGTTAATAAACAAGATCGCCTTATCTGTATTCTCTATTGTTGTTGGTTCGACAGATTGCACTGAAAGCACTAATGTGATTGACTGGATACTAAGTGAAGGAGACCCCACGTTTTTAGAGGAGCTTTCTAATTTCAAGGAGGATTCAAACCCTATTGGTTAGTTAGTCGTCAATTCAGTGTAGGCATAGTCTTTTGAATCAAAAGAGGTTTTTATAGAGTATTTTTTTTCTCTCACACAGCCTGGGATTGTGCAGTTTGGATACGTACTTATGCATTGTTTCTTGAGGAACGACTTGAAAGCTTCAGGTTCTTAAAATATACTACTGAAGCAGAACGTCTTCCTAAGGGTACCCCAGGACATAATAAGATATCAAATATTCATTTACTATGTCTTGCGTTTTACCCTCTCTTTCAGATGTTTTTTATTTATTTATTTTTTTTTGATGTTTTTTATTTTGCGCATTGTGGATTTGCAGAGGTACAGTAGTAGATCAGGGATTTAGATGGTGAAGTGATTTTGGTATAGTTGCCAGTTTTGCAGCAGCGACATTAATTATCGCCCCCATCACAAGTGGCAATTGTGAAAACAGATGGATCAATCAGTAACACCTAATTGTTCACAGCAAGGCTCTGCAGGTTCACATTATGGCCTTAAATGTTATTTTGTAGCATATTATCTGAATCCATATGTGGGGTCGTATATTTTAGTTCCTTTTCCAAGCTAAACAAACATCATTCATTTTAGTTCTTATTCCAAGCTTAACAAACATCATTTTATTTTCATAAGTTCAGCTATTCCAGATCATATGGTTCCTACACGAGAGCTGGATAGCAAAAACGCACGTTTTTATATACGTGAGAATTTATCATCACTTAAACCATGAATCTACCCTCTTGGACTTACGTAATTCAGATATGATGGAACATGAGGAGTGTAGGCAATATCCAGTCTTTTTATTTCCTAGAACCATTACACCCCCACCAAAACGGCAACCAAATAAATCCTTTGATTTCATCTATGAAAACAATCAAAAAATTTAGTTTAAATATCTAACATTAACAACTTTTTTTTCAAAATGGCAATGATGCTTATATTGTATGACTAATATTCGTAGAGATTTACACTGAAAAGAATTCAAACCATTAGTAATTAACCCAATTTGGGTTGTGTCGAAATCTTATAAATTCAACTAAAATTCAACTAGATCTCGACCCGCACAACTGTGCAGCTACTTTAATACGAAAATATTTGAAAATATATAATATTCTTTTTGTTTAATATTACATGATATTTTAAGAGATTTATTTTGTTTCAAAATATAAGATGTTTTGAAATTTTAAGGTATATTTTGAGATTTTAAGGTTACTTTTAACTTCCTTTAAATTTGTTCAACCAATAAAATTTTACTGTTTTTTTAATTGGTTGAATGATTTTAAAATTATATCTTTAAAAATAATTGTGTAAAAGAATGTACATTTCTTAATCTTTGTGCAGATCTAGAACTTCATATATTAAGAAACAGAGGGAGTAAAATTTACAAATAAATAAATATAATTTGATTCAGTTATACTATCCAATTTTATAATAATATTTATGTGGCTATGATATTATTAATATGAAATTTATAAATTTGTATTTTTGTAACAATTTTTAAAAACATTATTATGTAACATTACTAATTTATATATTTTCTTTTATTTCTAAATTTGAAATATATGTAAGAAGTAAATTAAGTTGGACCTACATAATACATAGAAAACATTTTGGGATATTGTTAAAAGTATTTTACATAAATTTAATTTTTTGTTTATAAATAAAAAATGAATTAAAATTTTAATTATATGTTATGATAATTAAATTTTAATCAAATAATATTTGGAACTATATCTTGAAAAGATTCTAAAAGATTTTTTTTTAAAAAAATTCTTATAACTATTTATTTGTATTTCAAATAAAAATTAAAGATATGAAAAGATATTATAATGATGTTATGTAAGATTTTATAAAAAAATTAAGCATGGACCAAACTAAAAAAATACACATGGAGAAATTTATGACTTCTCTTTTAATATAATAGATGTTTAAGCTCAATATGATAACATATTAGTTATTGTAGGATTAAAAACTCAAACAATATAAGTATAGATATAACTATCTACAAAAAAATATAACTTATGATCTTTATGACTACAAATATTAATAAAATATAATAAATTAGGATTTTGAAATAGAGTTAATTCCGCGTTTTTAAAACGCGGGTCAAAATCTAGTGTATAATTTAAAATCTTGAACCTCTAAATCTGAAATCATTTAGATTCTAGGACAAAAATAAACCTCTTGGATAATATTTTTTACATACACGTCTAAACCTTTTGTATATATTTTGTAATTATTTTTGTTATTATATTTACTAGGAAGAAACCTCCTAAAGGGTATCGATGCACCTGTCAATACCTTACTGATTAGACATTTGACTTTAAACATTAAAAAAAGACAAATTAAAATAACAATATCTTAGTTTTAGAACCTTATTTTAAGAATTTGACCGATATTAAGGTTGTTCATAGTCACGGCGGCTCCAACCATTTCAGGGCCATGGGGTAAAATTTAGAAAGTGACCCTTTTACGTATAAAATTGAAATGTTAGTATTGTAGCTACAAGGTAAATACAATAATTTTTGTTTGAAAAGGTAAACGCAAACCATAAAAATAAAACAATCTTGTTCTTTTTATAGCTTTTTTCTTGAGAATGAGATCATTTATTTCTACAAAAACCTTCACAATATAACATCATCCCGGTAATCTGGAAAAGGGAAAAAAAAAACAAAAAACAGTAGTCAACCTAAAATGAAATGTAATCACAAAAAACAGTTTTATGAACTTTTTTCGATGCAAAATCATGTATGAAAGTTTCAAAAAACAATCCTCAGAAGTTTAAGAAAATAAAACTTTTTTCTCAATACCAAAATAAAATCACTGATCTGTGTTTATGCACATGTATAGAAAGAAAAAAAAACAGGATAGTAAACAAATAATAAAGATCACTTGAAAATAATCAAAGAGGCAAGAATCTTTGAATAATCAAGGATTTTGAGTTTGAGATCTTTTAAAACTGTATCATCTCTGGAAATATGAACAGTTTTTTCAGAAGAAAAGAAGACGTCTTGATGATATTCATGCCTAAAATTTTTTTGATCAACTATTTTTGATGTTGATTATAATATTTTATTAGCTAATTATAATATGGTAAGAATTTATACAGATTAACATAAAAAGATTGTTTTCATAAAGTTAGATTGATTAATTTCATATTTATTAATTTCGTTTTACTAAAAAAGTTATATTTATAGTTTACAAAAAAAAAAAAGTTATGGTACTACATATAAAAGGAAAAAAAAAAATTATGGGCCCCCTCCGACAATGAGTACTGGTTGGGTGCATTGCTTGCCCCTCAGCTGGCCCTATTCTAAGTTGTCATAATATTTCAATACTTTGGAAAGTTAAATCAAGATTCAGGTTTGGATCTGGTTTCATATTATTGAAAAGACAAGCTACTATGGTTATTGGTCAATTCTGATAACACAGAGATCATAAAACACAAAAGATTGGGTCACTTTGATAACACAGTACCAGATGCCGATTTGAAGAGAGAATTATAAATGGTTGTGTTTGTCTTTCATTCTGCCTTCTCTTTTTCTTCAAAAAAAGACTTATATCCAATGTCTAGAAAGTTTGTTGCACGATACCAGGGCCGGCTTAAAATTATATTGGAGCCTTGAACAATTTTTTTTTTATGTATTATAATTAGTTAAAAATAATATTGTGGACTTTTGTTATAAAACTAAACATAAATATAGGCTCTTCTATCATTAAATTTACTTAATTTTAACATGGGTCCATGGCATATGCCACCTCTTAGAACTGATACTGCACGATACAAACATTTTTTACTCCCCCAATATAGTCTTTTTCTTCAACTATCTTTTTTAATTTGACCAGTGAAGAAATGTTGAAAGATATTTCATTATTGTATTTTCCAATTATGAAATTGTTACTCGTTTTAAGGACAGTTACATCATAAAGAACGAAATCCCATAAATAAAAACTTTTTTAAAAAGAAATCCCATAAATAAACAAACAAATAGAACAGAACAATACTTGCTTGTTTATGTTTTGATGATATACTAAAAATGAGTCGTCACGTTTTTGCATTTCACATTATTCGCCAATATCAATCATTGATTTCATCATTGCATTGTTTATTATTTTTTTCAACTATACCATTATTTATTTAGGATATCAGTAATCACGAAACATAGGCTCCGATTGGTAACCATCACGTAATCGCGGAATCGCGGAAATAATAGTTAAGTTGCGGAAAAAATTAATTAAGTCGTGGAAAAATTTAAAATTTGCAGAATGGCGGAATATATATTAAATTGATTAAAATATTTTATATGGTTTTTAATTTGTTATAAAAAACAACTAGTAATAATTAAACTAATTATTACAAAAGTGAAAACAACTAAAATTTATTAAAAACATTTTAGTTTTTATTATAAATATCTAACATATCTTTCAGTACATTTTAAAAATAGATTTTTTTAATATAGAAA